GATGCGGTTGCTGGCATGCTACTCACAGCACACATGTGGTGCCCAAATCATTGGGGCTCCATAAGGCAGTGTGAAGCCCATGTTTCTGATCACAGAATCCTTCGTCCTTGCAGGTCTGGCTTGCACAGATGAGGCAAATTTGTTTCAAACTTCACCTCACTGAGCTAACTGTGTATGGGTTTTGTTATCAGGAAATAAAAGTACACCTTTATTATTTCACAGATTGAGTCACTCAGTCCATTCATAGTCTCTTACTTTGGCTCATTAGATGACACTTACAGAGCAGCTAAATGTCTAAAGAAGAAAGACTGAGCTAGGGAAGAATCTGGCCAGGTTTTCAAAAGTTAGGTGTGCTCAACTGAAGATAGAAATAGGAAATAAACCTTATTAGGAGACAGTATCTATGGCATATAATGTTTTAAAACTCTGAAAGGTGCTCTGCTGTCTGGTGCATTTACTGTGCTACTTATTAGAAGATCAGACAGAAATATGAAAACAGGCATGTATTAGAAATCTTCAGATTATATTTTATTCTAACAATAATTTTGAAAGGATCTTAATCATACTTGGTTCAAGAACTTTGAATATCTATAGAATCAGCTTTATTAACTGCTATATTTTCTCAGTAACTAAAGACAGATAAAGTAAATGAAAGGATATTTCCTTGACCTCAATTTTAATTCTGATATATTAACATATATATGTCTTATACAATTCACCAGACCAATATATAGTCATTTTAATATATGGATCTTAAAATGACCCACTAGTCGGCTAATACTTTCTCCTGATTTAATAATGCTATAGTGAATTTACACAGGTTCTTTATTCAACAGGCCTAAATGCACTTAACACATTAACATTTTGAGTAAAATGAAAAGTTAAAGTACAATATACTTTAGACTTGGGCATTTTAACATGCACTTTCCATTACCTCCCAAGGGGTGTTTCAAACTCTGGATTATGACTAGAGGAAAGAAAACTCATTGGCACAAAGCTATTCCCATTCTTAGAAATACAAGTTGGTTGCAAATTAAACATTATTTGTTTTTAAATGAATAAAAAAGTGCCTTCCATTTTTGTGGTACTGGGCATTGAAACCAGGGCCTTACCCACATTAGGAAAGTACTCCACAACTGAGCTCTATCCCAAGCCCTCTTTTTATTTTTTTGAGGTTGAGTCAGCATCTTGCTAAGTTGCCCAGGCTAGCCCTGACTCACTCTATATCCAGACAGGCCTTGCACTTGTAGTCCTTCTGCCTTCTAAGTATCTAGGATTATGGGCCTATACTACCAGGCCAAGCTAAAATAATGTATTGCTAAATAGAGTTTTTAATCCTATGGAGACAGTAGTAAAATACTAATAACTCTTTTCTAATTCCTTCACATACTGAGAAAAAGCAGAAATTAGTCCTTTTTCTAAGGCAAATGCAATATGAATTTTGAGCATTTTCTTTGATGATTAATTCTAAAAGATGTAGCAAATTCTTCTAGAATTTTCTTCATACTGCAGTCAAAATGTACTTTATGGCTAGCTGCATTCCTAGGTCAAAAGCTACCCTGGCTCCCTGCTAACAGTCAAACCTAAGCCCCCTCCACCCTCCATGAGTTGTTCTCCCTTCTTGTTTGGCCAGTGTTTGCTCTGAGCTCCACCCACCACACCAGGCCCCTCCTTGTCCCCAGGCCTTTCCTTCCACATCTGGTTCTGCTTTGCCCCCACTTGGGAGGGACTCCATTATTCAGTTCCTATCAACATGGTACTCTTTCCTGTCCCAGGTCAAACTCCTTATTTCCTAAAGTCTTCTCAGACTTTAGTCTACCCTTCACAGTATTCCTTTGTTCCTTTCCTGTGCCTTTTATTATTTTAATCTTCTGTGCTCACCACACAGATTATCCTCTGAGAATACCTGCATCTCTCCAACTGTCACTTCAGCCAGCCAGAGCATAGGAGCTTTTCTGTGCCTCAGTTTCCTAATTTGTAGACTGCCATAATAATAAAAATGCACCATTAAGTTATTAGCAATGTAATGATTTAGCATAGTAAAAACACAGCGCTTGCCAGTTAGGCATTACTCAAGAGATATATACTAAAGAAAAAGCCTAGATATAAGTAGCCAGATCTTGAACATACCCTCCAAAGTATAATTCAGTGTTATTTGAGACTAGAGTGATAAATGAAATAATTATTGGCTTATAATTTTCTAGCTATCATGAGGGTTATGGCACTAGAAAAAATTCCCATTTACAGTCTACATTCTACTTGGGGAATTAATTTGAAGAGGGCATGTTACAGGTGAACCAACCAATGTCAAGAAGACAATGAGGTACTCTAAGATTTATCAGTGAAGGTATTAGAAATTAATCGGACTCAAACCAGCACCACAGGACAGCAACAACTTACTCAATGTACAAGCTAGAATCCTCTCCTTGTTGTTTCTGAGAGAATTACAGCCTAGGACTGGCTGACTTTACACAGAAGATCCTCTTAGACAGCGACTCACTTTTGGATGTACCACATGCTATTTATATTAGAAACAAAACAAATCAGGCATTCTCTGGTTTGAGAAATCTGTGGTTCCCCAACCCTCACCAAGGAGATGTTAAAATCCTCCATGGGCTTCGTCATTCGGAGTCCAGAAGGGTTCACACCTGCTCCACCACATTCCTGTGACCTTTCCTAGTCCCTGTTCCCCTCTAGTTCCCTCATTCCATCTATACTGACTGCTGAGCCTTTCTGGAACCTGACAGGTAAGTCCTGCCTCACAGAGCCTTTAACATGAATATGTCCTGCCTGAAAGCTTCCCCAGTACTCACTTAGCTTGTTCCCTTGCCTCTTCAAATTCTCACCAAATGTCCTCTTTGCTGTGAGTCCCTTACTGTACAGCCTTGAAGAACTGAGCTCCTCTTCTCTATAGTCTTAGTGTCTCCATGGTGAGTTTCTACCACATAGCATCAGGTAGTGCTTT